TTATATTGAGCACTTTATCCCATAAATATAGCACATCTTAAGACTATATTTCTTCATATATATATATATATATATATATATATATATATATATATATATATATATATATATATATATGCGTGTGTGTGTAAAATAATTTCTTGTTACTCCTTCATTTTTCTCTCATCTCCACAATACACTTAAAGCCAGTTATTCTTTGATATAATGGAATATGCGTACACCTGTGTTCCCCCTCACTGGTATGTGATTGGCTGGTGTCCGTCATAAATATCGACGGACGCGTAGGAAAGTCAGAAGAGTCAAAGAGCCTTAGTCTGAGAGCAAATCTATAACGATGCCCATTGGACTCCGCCATTGATCTACACTTCTTACCTGTGACTACGGCGGGTACCAGTCAATTACTGCTACCGTATTCTACTTGGTTATAGTAGCCAAAACCACTTAGCTACTTCGTTCAAATATATCCCTTTCTGGGACATATCATTCTTGTTCTATTCTTACCTATATTTTCAATATATTTCTTGACTCACATCTGATCTCCCTTCAACATTTATTTCATATTCAATATCATGTTTTCATCACTTAATTACTATACAATATATTCTCCGTGTATTGATGTTATTTCTTACAAGCCACAATAATGTGTATACTTACTAAGCGAACACCACCTTTTTGAACATGGAAAATAAGTTGTAATACTTGTTCTCTAAAATTTCTGTATAATTAACATTTTCAGTGAGGTACTTGAGTTTCGAAAATCTTTCCTTTAAAACAATTTTTCAGGAAAACAGATTTCTCAAGTCCAGTAGCTGTTATGTCTCTTTCCGATATTCATGGCGGAAGAGATGGTTTCTTCATAACATTTTATTGGATGTAGTGTGGAATGTCGACATTTGGATTCCTTAGAATCAAATAAAAAAATGTTGAACTGCTACGTAAGATCAAATAACCTATATGACAGTGAAGAAAGATACTTTTTTTTTCTATGTGCCATGTCCTTTAGACACGTTGGCAATGATGGATCTACACAATTTCCTGTCCTTTGTAACTCTTAGTCAATTTTATATTTTTACTATTTCTTCCAAACCCTGTTCTGTCATTCATATACACAAGCTCGTCAAGTAGGATATGCACTCTTTTCCTCTGTCCCTCTTTGCCTTCAATCTGCACTCTGAGTATCAAATTTTCCAAGCCCTCTTTCCTCATTATGTGCCCTAGAAATTTCAACTGTCTCTTTTTGATAAGTGTCCTTTTTGTTTCCATTTCCTCTAAAACCTCGTCGTTGCTCAAATGTTTAGTCCATGGTATTCTCAACATCCTTCTGTAGAACCATATTTCTTTTGCCTTCTTTTCTTAAATTGTGAAGCTGTCCAGCATTCACTGCCGTAGAGGAGAACCGATATTACATAACTGTTCAGTACTCTTTTCTTTGTATCTAACGAAATTTTCATGTTTCATAGTATTTGCTTAGATTTTAGAAGGTATTTTTCGTTATCCCAATTAGCTTTCAGATTTCAGGGCTACACTTTCAGTCCTGTGAGTTCAATACTTGACTACTGCAGTAGTGAACAAAAACTTTGAGAGTTGAGTTAAATGGAGATAACTTAGACATTCATGGAAGTAGAACAATCTGCTCCGATAGACGAAATAAAGTGTTCAGTTCTAAATCACAATGACCTGAAGAAGGCCGGATTTACAACGACCGAAACATCGTGAATATGGAAATAAAGATGAAGACAACAGTCCGAACAATGTACATAATTGCAATACGACATCTCAGAAATATTTAAATTGTAGTACTTGTTTGATATTGCTTTCTGCAATTTGTAATTTGCATATTTGTTGACAACCGTACATTCTGTCTTCTTGCATTTGATGTTTTGCCCTTTAATCACGCTTTCCTTCACTATCTTGTGCAGGTGTTCTTGTGGTCTCCTTTCTTTGTGTACACTCAACACCGTGTTATCTGTATATATTATGTTCTTAAGATAGTGACTGCCTGTAACAGATTCTGGTAAGTCTTCTAATTTTCTCAGAATCACCGCACTGTATAGGTGGAATAAATCCGATGAGAAGACATATCCTTGTCTTAAAACACTTTCTGTTTTTGTATTTAATTGAATTCATTTTCTGTCCGTATGCAGGCGGTTTTTCTCCCACTGGAGCTTCTGGATTATTCTAATATTCTTCCCAAATATGTCAAGGTTACGTAACAGTCTAACACTCAATTTTAAGAAAACTCGGGACAAAACATGTATGTAACTGGTAAGTTTTAAGGAGAATTGGGAATAGAAAGAGACTTTAGTTACAATTAGAAGTTGAAATTTTCTTCTCACATTTAATGTAGTAAAAGGGTCTGGAGAATTTAACACTAACAGGTTGTGAAAGTAGGGAGTCACAACGAGTAAACAATGAGTTTAAACGTATAGCGGAAGATGGAGGTGAATGAAAAGTAATATAAGGTAAGATGTTATTGTGAGACCGTAACATACCTACAACATGGACTCTTCCAGTCTTTTTCAAGGCTTACAAAAAACAACATAACATTCTGGGAAGTAGGCACCATAAAACAAAGAATTGGCGAACTGGTCTATATTGTCCAAGGACCGAAAAACACTCACAAACGCCATTGGAACCAGCCCAGAAAATGCTGTTTAAAGGAATCGGAGGAATCACTACAAAATAGCTGTGAAGAGCCGATCGACGTAATTTTCGATCACTTCGATCTTGACACGCTCCAAGTCTCTCCTGAAGTGCGACGCACAGGAAGGAAAAGGAAATTTACTCAACCGCTCGACGTAAATCCCAAGAGGAAAAAGTATTAAGTTTTATGTTTTTTTTTCTTTTTTTCAAAAAGAAAAAAAAGAAAACTCTTGGAAGGGGGGTGTTGTGAGACCGTAACATACCTACAACATGGACTCTTCCAGGACTATATAAAGTATGCGATATAACACTCTAGGAGAAGAGGAGGAAAGAGAGAGAGAGAGAGAGAGAGTATTCTAATACCGTAGTATCAGCCGCGTACGACTACCAATATTGGACACTAGCACATAGTAAGCTCCGCTTACACCTACACTATCTTTGTAACCTTTTTGTTTAATATATCTTTCTTAACTCTAATCCGTGTTCCGTGTTTTCCTTCCGTGGTCCCGACTTTGGGACCACATCAGTTATATAGAACAGTAAAAGATAAGAAGTTGTGAAAAGCCATGATTGTCCACTTCTTGAAAGATTTCATGAAAACCCTTCAAAATGTTGAGAATTAATTTAACAGGGGCGATTTAGAAATAAAATCGCGAAATATATGAGAAACGTTTTAATAAATGACAAAATGAACGACAAAAAAATAGAACATTATCTTTTAATTATATGATAGTGTTGTTTTTAGTTAGCACATCAGCTTTGACCATAATTCTTTCTATTTAGGGGTCCAGACCAGTTATTTTAGTGAAGGGGCGAATGGTTGTTTTCAACGCGTGTTTTGTAATATCCAATGTCGGTTTAATAATGCGTTTGTGACAACGATTTTAATAATTTCCGTTCACTATCAATTCTTTTTATAAATTCTTTAATGTAATAGAAGAGAGACACTGGATGTGAAAATTACAGCAATAAGGGCGGCTTCATTGAATATTCCCACAGGGCAAACGAGTCTGACAGACCCCTAAACCTGACACCGTATAACCGTATCCCGTTCGCAACGACCATATCACGTTGCAACACCGGTCCCCGTACGATCAGCGAAATTTAAGCAACGTAGGGCCTGGTCAGCGCCTATATAAATATATTGAGAGTTCGTTCAAGGGAGACGATTTAGAAGCAGAATCACAAAATATATGACTAATGCTTCATTAAATGACAAAATTAATGACAAGTATACAATCAATGTACGATGCGTATGGCAAATGTTTCAATAAGTTAGAAATGTATGGCAAATGCTACTTGTCAGCTCTCTGTCGACGGAAAAACTGATTTAAAACATGTGTTTATACACAAACAAGGGAAACGCTTATAGAGTTAACCACGAGGAAAAATCCTGTTTCACTGTAAGGCATTTCGCAGCTGTATTCAGCAAGGTTCTATCTATCTATCTATCTATCTATCTATCTATCTATCTATCTATCTATCTATCTATCTAATTCTGATATCTATCTCGCTAGCAAGCTAGTTATGTTCTTATCAATCTATCTACTTGTGTATATCGAGTTATTTTCTGATCTTTCTATCTATATATGTATGTACGTAGATTATGTTATATCTATATGATCATTTCTCTCTCTCTCTCTCTCTCTCTCTATCTATCTATCTATATTATTATATATATCGTGTTATTTTTTTATCTATCTATCTTATTATGGATATCGTGTTATTTTATTATTAACCTATCTATGTAGATTATTTTATATCTATATGATCATTTCTATCTCTCTTGTTTACTATCTATCTATCTATCTATCTATCTATCTATCTTAGTTCATAACTCTCGCATTCTGTTAATTTCTCTCTTTCTTTTATCTATTTATCTTTGTTCATATCTATCTATCTATCTATCTATCTATCTATCTATCTATCTATCTCAGCTCATAACACTTTCTTTCTTTGTTCATAGCTCAAACATTCTGTTCCTCTCTATCTATCTATCTATCTATCTATCTATCTATCTTAGTTCATAACTCTCGCATTCTGTTAATTTCTTTCTTTCTTTTATCTATTTATCTCCCTCTGATCATATCTATCTCATTCTGTTCATATCTATCTATCTATCTATCTATCTATCTATCTATCTATCTATCTATCTATCTTATTATGTATATCGTGTTATTTTTTTTAACTATCTATCTTATTATGGATATCGTGTTATTTTCTTATTAATCTATCTATGTAGATCATTTTATATCTATATGATCATTTCTATCTCTCTAGTTTACTATCTATCTATCCTTCTATCTATCTCATTCTGTTCATATCTATCTAACTGTTATTCGATTCATAATTAGGGCTTATGGTCATATCATGTTGAAACACCGGTTCCCATACGATCTCTGAAGTTAAGCAACGTCGAGCCTGGTCAGTACCTAGATGGGTGAGCGTCTGGAAATACCAGGTGCTGTAAGCGTGTATGTGCGGCTGGTGTAATGGATAATGGATCGGAAATGTTAATCAGCGAGCCGAGTTACAATTGCTGTTGGGCACGTAATATTCACTTCTGCGAAAACACCCTTAGGAATAGTATAAATCCAGCTCTTCTCCCCCAGCTTTAGGTTAATTAGTAAGATTTTCTAAACGTAGCTTAGATGCAGCACAAGTTCGAAAGTATGGAGCACCCAGTGAAGATCGAACTAATCGTAAAGGATCTAGTGAAACAAGTTTGCTAATCTACACCACGAGGATAATAGAAAAAAATTAGAGTCCATTACGAAAAGTGATTCGAAAAAGGAAAGTAAAAGTAAACAAAGTGATTCGACTAAACTATTATTATCTCAAAATTTTTTTACGATCTAAAAATATTTTCTGCCTTTAAATAAGCTACGAACAATTGATAAGCCGTAGAAATCGAATCAAATTACTCACTACTTCGCTTCAAGTCTCTTCTTCTGTAAAGATATTGTCCAACATTCACTAACATATCGAATATTAAATATTACATTGCAGTTCAACAGTCTTTCTTTTGTTTTCTAATGACATTTTCAAATCTCGTCTTTGCTTAGTTTCTAGAAGGTATATTTCACTGTTCCCATTATTTATATGTTGTCTATTATCCTCATCTGTCTATTATCCTCGTGGTGTAGGTTAGCAAGCTTGTCTCGCTAGATCCTTTACGATTGAGTAGAGAGTTCGATCCTCACTGGGTGCTCCATACTTTCGACCTTGTGCCACATCTAAGCTACGTTTAGAAAAATCATTTGGGCACCTCGTGGCGGTGTAATGTTTAGCAAGCTTGTCTCGCTAGAACAATTACAATTGAGAAGTGAGTTCGATCCTCACAGGGTACCCCATACTTTCGGCCTTGTGCCATATCTAAGCTACGCTTGAAAAATTACTATTAATCTCATCTTTTTAGTTAATACAGCGTTTCGGCTATTGTGCTCTCCAGCCTTCCGGGAGAAGTTTCCTCTGACAGAATCAGCGCAACTGCTAGCTTTTTAATACCTTCATCATAGGCCTAGCGTAGAAATAAATACAATATGGGTGCCGTTAATAAAGAAAGAAAGCGATAATGGCAGTAAAGCTTCAACAGTAGTTGCAGCAACTTCAATCGCAGTAGAAAAGAGAAAGCTCTGTAATTGCAGCTAAGCGCGACAAGCAGTAGTAGAAGGTTTGTTGTCTCCAACTTCCCCCTCCTTCGTGGGAGAATAACCTCCTGTATTAAGGTGTTGGTTCGTGAATTCGGTGACATATCAATTTTGAGTTCAATACCTGGGTCGGTCAATGTGTACGAGATGAGTAATAATTGAGGGGTACTAAATAACAACGAGAAATATGGACAAGCACCTGATTTGATAACAACAATAAAGATGAGGACAACAGTTCGCGTGTTAATTAACTTGTAGCTCCCGTCCCAAGAATTCAGGCTGAAACATGTTTTGCCATTCTGATGTAGCTTCTTTCTGTGTTACTAAAGTGATTTTTTTACCAACTTGATTTTGACGTTCCCACTATGTAGCTGATACATTTGGCTGTATCTTTTGCTGACACCCATGCATTCTGCTTTCTTAAATTTTACGATTCATTCTTATTTTTTTTGCTTTCTAGTTTAAATTTTAAGACAAAAAGACATGTATGTAAATATAGTTGTAAGATAGCGTTGATTTTTTAAATTACCCTGAGTTCAAACAATGTCGGCGTGCGCATTCCTGTAATAGATGTATTGATGAAACAAGATGCTAATGAGCTTACGGCCCTTATTTACGACAACTGAATGAACTAATACAGCGTTGGATGTCGTCATCTAAACCAAACACAATTTTAGTCAACAGGAGCGATAAAACACAAAGAACTGTTTAGCTAAGGATGTTGATAAGAGAGACGGAACTAGAGTCCATTCCTAAAAGTGATTCGAAAAAGGAAAGTAAAAGTAAACAAAGTGATTCGAAAAAGGAAAGTAAAAGTAAACAGAGTGATTCGAAAAAGAAAGTAAAAGTAAACAGATTCGAAAGAGAAAGTAAAAGTAAACAAGTGATTCGAAAAAGGAAAGTAAAAGTAAACAAAGTGATTCGAAAAAGAAAGTAAATATAAAGAAAAGAAAATCGGCTGGAAGTCTATGTTTGGAATAACTGAGGAAAGAAATAGAAATATTTAGTTTTATACAGAAGAGAAATTTAAAAACGTGGAAGCAAAAGAAGGTGTGGATAAAGATATAGGAATGGAGGGAATGGGACGTTCCGGCGTAGTCCATTTGGCGGGGTGATCAGGCGTCAGATTACTATTTCGTCGTTATAGTCAAATTTGTTCTCTCTCTCTCTCGCTCTCGCTGTCTCTATCTCTCTCAATTAGTAGGCAAATTAGTACATCGTTCTTATAATTTAGAATAGTCCAATTTAAGAAAATGAATAGTTTGGGGCATTTTTATATTTAAGAAAGTTCAGAAAGCACGTGATGCAAAAAAAGTTGATCGCTGAATATGCATCCGCCCCCCACCAAAAAAAAACAAACAAAAAAACTAAAAAATATAGAGATGCTAATGGAAGTTGAATCATTAGATCCTATTAAATTCCTATAAGGCGTTGCTCATAATTACGAAATGAAGAAGTAATTTCTAAGATTTAAATAGCTTTACTAAGTTTTTTTTTTTAATGTTTTTGAAATACAATATTTTTAATTTAAGTTTTTAATTGACATTATTCTATTAGTGTTTTAATAGGATCATTAATTCCCTAAATTAATAAACCGTCCCGAGTATGATGATAAATTACAATCGCGTCCTGGGTATGACGATAAATTACATCCTCATCCTGGGTATGACGATAAACTACATCCGCATCCTGGGTATGGTGATAAACTACATCCTCATCCTGGTTATGACGATAAACTACATCATCGTCTTGGGTAAGACGATAAACTACGTCCAATAGCAAGTTTTGAGGAGCGTGGAACATCTCTTAATTGCTGACGTTTCCAGGTCCACCCTGACCCGGGGTGATAGCACCTGTTAGGGTCCCAGCTATGGGCAGATAGTTGACACCCAAACTTGTGTAAAAACAGGTTTTAATACCAGAAATACTTTGTAATAAAAAGAAAATATTACCAGCAATATTTTTGAATGAAAAATTATTATCAGCAATACTTTAAAAGAAGTACTAGCAATAGTAGCGGCTATACATTCTTTGAAAAAAATATGACCAGCTGTAGATTTCTTCAAGGAAAAATATTCCCAGAAATAGATTTTTGAAGAAAAACATTACCAGCAATAAAAATTTTGGCGGCATTAAATAACCTATTGAGGTTGATATGCCGTAAAACAAATGAAACCAAACCAAACCTAAATTAATAAAATGTCATATTGAAAGTTAGGTGTTTTCAATTTCTTTTATCTTTTTTGGGGGGGGGGGTGGTCCGGTTAAAGAGAGTGGCGTAGAAAAAGTCTGACGCGTAAATGGCTGTACTGAAAAGTCAAATAACTTTTCTGAGGCCGAATCAGCGACGCCGAGTCAGCGACGCCGAGTCAGCGACGCCGAGTCAGCGACGTCGAATCAGCGATGCCGAATCAGCGATTCCGAATCAGCGATGCCGAATCATCGAGGCCGAATCAGCGAGGCCGAATCACGACGCCGAATCACGACGCCGAATCAGCGACGTCGAATCAGCGACGCCGAATCAGCGACGCAGAATGGCATACGCCGAAGCGTACCAAACTCAGGAAAGGAAGGTAAAAGCAAATAAAAAGTTTTAAGAAGAAAAAAATAGGAAGAAAAAAAAAGTTGAGGCGACAGAAATGGAAAGAACATTTCTAATGAAATAATATCTCCGCTCTGAATATTTGGGAAGAGGAGCCGCCATTATTTACATTGTCTTCATTTTGGGTGTTATTACCACAATGTTCCCGACTTTCCCCAGATGTTTCATACTATAGGTGGATAAGCGGATCGTAAACGTGGAGAGAGGAACGCAAACACCCATAGTATTCATTTCAAATTTTCCCAGATGTGCCCCTTAAACATTTTTAGGGAATTTCAAACTGAACGCTTTATTTAATATATAGGGATAGATTCTTCTCGTTCCGCTGTGTATATCAAGGGATGTCTCTTATCCACCTATAGCCTAGTGGATTAAATTTTTGGCTCTAGAATTTGGCGACATTGTAAATGTCAAGCGTAGACATTTCGTTAGAAACAAAGAAAAGAGTACTGAACTGTTACGTCCTCCTATATGACAGTGAATGCCGAAAAATCTCCTCACAGATGAAGAAGAGACTTGAACCAACAGAAATGTGGTTCCACAGAAGGATGCTGAGAATACCATACTGAGCAAGGACGAAGTTCTAGAAACAATGGAAACAAAAAGGACATAATTAACATGAGACATTTCTAGGGTACATAATGAGGAAAAAAGGCTTGAAAAAGTTGACACTCTCACGACAGAGTGAAGGCAAAAACCTATCTAACGAGTTTGAATGAATGAACATCTTCTCATTTCTTGCTACTGCTGCTGCTGCTGTTGCTATTGTTGTTGTTGTTCTTCGTCGTCATCGTTCCCTACTTTGCTCTTTCTTCTTTTCAGCCCACTTCTTTTCTCCGACTTTCATCTTCTTTTATCTCCTCTACTTAATTTTCTTCCCACTCTCTTATTTTTTTCCACTTTTTGTCGTCGTTGTTGTTGTGGGTTTTCTTCTTTTTCTTGACATCTCGTCACCATCATAGATCTTTTTTCTTTCTTTCCATCCCCATATGTTGCTGCTTCTTCTCCTTTTCCTTACTTACTCCATATTCTTTTTTTACCCCAACACCGTATATCTTCTTCTTCTTCTTCTTCTTCTTCTTCTTCTTTTCTTCTTCTTCTTCTTCTTCATCTTCTTCTTCTTCTTCTTCTTCATCTTCTTCTTCTTCGTTCTCCTTATTGCACCTCCCTCTTATTTACCTGCATTTTTTCTCATCGTCTTGGTTCATACCATTTCTCC